ACAGCCCAGGAGGAGGCTGCGTCGGCAGGATGGGCCCTGGGTGCCCGCAGGACAGGCACCTGCCGAGGGCAGCAGGGCAGGCTGAGCTGCAGACAACCGCTGCCCGGCCACGCTGTGCCTTCCCAAGGGATGGCTGAGACAGCCGGGGCAGTCGAGACAGACAGTGACTCAGCAGCTGAGTCATGGCTGAGCCGGCACCCCTGGACAGGCAGTGAGTCACGAGTGCCCCAGAAAGCTGAGTCGGACAAGAACGTGACGGGAAGCCGCAGCCCCACTCCCAGAGCAGGCACGGGGGATCCCGCAGTCCAGAGGCACCAGCTTGAGCAGCAGCTCCAAAAATTCAGTGCTCCATTTTGTCTAGAAACCTCCCTGTCCCCAACATGCTTCACGGCACGCTGTGCTAAGCAGCAAGGCCAGGCAGAGCGGGGGCACACGGGGCAGCAACCAGATGCTGCAGGAGTTGCCCCCGTGGAGGAGAAACGCCAGGAGCGGGGTCTGGAAGGGGCGAGGGGAGCCTGAGAATCCGTCAGGAGCATCCTGGCTCAGGAGCAGGGGATGGGGCAGGGCCATCCAGAGGTTGGGGCTGCCTAAGTGTTTGGGAATGTTACCTCTCCAGCTGAGCCTGGGAACAGCCCTGCAAAGGAGAGCATCAGGAACTGGGGCTGGTCTGTTTGTTTAATATGTTAAAATTTAATAAGGGCATTATTCATAGAAAGAGGAATCCAGATCCCAGCGCTGCCAAGCCCTCCCTTTCAGCAGCATCCAAGCCGAACAAAGTGGGACGGGGGAGAGGAAATGCCTGGAAATAAGGAACAGACGGGAGGTGACCGAGCCCGACGCGGCTGGTTCTCCCGGGCTGGGTGCTGGCTCTACGCTCCAGGCCGGTGCCGTCCGAGAGGCGAACGCGCTCGGAGGGCCCTGGCCTCCCCCGGGGCCGTCAGCTCCCCGCGCTGCCACGTACCATCGCGGTTTAATCAAAGTTGGAAGAGGCCGGGCTCACCCGTGTCACCGGGGCTGCGCAGCGGGGAGCCCGGCCCGGCCCCGGCC